GGGGGATGCATGACAGGTGTTTATTTGTGTCATTTCTCAATCAATATAAGATGAACAATGTTTTTTTTTCAAGATAATTAAAACAATTACAACAACAATAAAAAAAAGAAAAAAAAAATAGATACATTATTAATTATTAATAAACTCACACATGTTCATTCATACCCCACTCATTTATAGTAGTATTCTATATATAATCCTAATATATTGATTGCTGTGTGCATTTTATATTTATAATAGGTAAATTTTACTGATTTAGTGGTTTTTGATTTTATCATTATATATATTTTTAAATTTTTTTTTTTTAAAACATTGCCACTACCCTCTTATAAAGAAACAACTGTTATTATTTAGATATTTTCTATATAAAGGATATTTTATATTTTTATATTTATATAAATATATATATTTTATATATTAATTGTGTGTGTGGAGAGAGACTATTTTTATTTTTTATAATTTTAAAAAAAAAATATAAATAAAATTTTTTTTTCAATTCACATTATTAATTTAATAAATATTTATACAAATAATTGTTTATTTTTTTCATAGCTTAATACTATTAATTTATTAAAAAATTATCTTTTAATAATAAAATCAAAAAAAAAAAAAAACAACTAAAAAATATTTTTATTAACTTTAATATTTTATTAACATTAAAAAAACACAGAGCTACTTTTCAAACGGTTTACTTATCAGCAGTGAATAATTATTTGTTTGGTTTTTAAATTTATACTGTATTTGTAAGTTATTAATTAATTAAAGATCGAAGTCCAATTAATAAAATTAACTAATATGTTTTTTTTTTTTTTAATATTTTTCACTATATTCAATCTTATTAATTATCTAATCTTTTTTCTTTTTATATTTTATATTATATATTTTATATTTTATATTATATATTTTATATTTTATATTTTATATTTTATTTATTTTATTATTTATAATATTAATAATTTTATTCTCTTTTAATACCAAATATTATAAATATTATTTTAATTCATATTTTTTTTTATTATTTATTTATTTCTTTTTTATTTAATTCAAATAATTGTATAACCTTCTTTTATTAAAGAAAGTTCTAAAAGTACATAAAATATATTTTGTACATTGTAAATATATTTTTATAAAATAGATTATTAATTAATTACTAATTGTACTTTAAGTTTACATTTTTTTTTATTTTTTTTTAATTAAATAAATAATAATAAAATAATAATAATAATAATAATAATAATAATAATAATAATAATAATAATAATAATATAAATAATAATAATAATAATAATAATAATAATAATAATAATAATAATAATAATAATAACAATAACAATAATAATAGTAAAATTAATAAAATGAATAATAATTTTATTAACAATAATCATACCAATAAAGAACCAATAGCAGTAGTTGGTATAGGATGCAGATTCCCAGGAAATGTAAACAATTACAATGATTTTGTTAAAGTGGTTAAAAGCGGTAAAGACTGTTTAACAAAAATCCCAAGTGATCGTTGGAATGCTGACGTTATCTCAAGAAAACAACCTAAATTAAATAATAGAATCGGTGGTTTTATCGAAAATATTGACAAGTTTGACAACCAATTCTTCTCAATTTCTCCAAAAGAGGCACAAAATACTGATCCACAACAAAGATTGCTATTACACGTAAGTTTTAATAGTTGATCTGTTTTGTTTTTAATTTCCTATTTATATATTATTTTGTTTATTTTTGGAAATGATCTTCTCTATAAATTTTTTTTTAGAAACATTGTTTTATATTAAATTTTCAAAAGAAATTTTTTTGCCTATAAATTTTTTTTATAAAATTTTTTTTTTTTTTTTTTTTTTTTTTTTTCCGTGTCACCCACCTCTTTTATTTTATAAAAATTTTTTAGATATTTCTTAAATTTGTAAATGTCATTATTATGCCTCAAACAGAAATTTTATATTAATATTAAAATTTATAAATTTTAGATTGTAATAGAGGCTTTAGAAGATGCAAAAATTTCCTTAGATCAAATTAAAGGAAATAAAATAGGTGTTTTCATTGGATCCTCGTCAAGTGATTATTTAAGAGGATTTGACTCTAGTGAAATTAATCAATTTTCAACACCTGGTACCAATTCATCATTTTTATCAAATAGATTATCTTATTTCTTAGATGTGAATGGGCCAAGTATTACAGTTAATACTGCATGTGCAGCATCAATGACTGCAGTACACTTGGGTTTAACTTCAATATGGAATGGTGAGACAAAATGTAGCATAGTCGGAGGTGTTAATATTATTTCCTCACCTTTACAATCTTTAGACTATGGTAAAGCTGGTTTATTAAATACAGAAATCGATGGTAGATGCTATAGTTTCGATCCAAGAGCCAGTGGTTATGTAAGAGCTGAAGGTGGTGGTATATTAGTATTGAAACCATTGTCACAAGCAATTGAAGATAAAGATGAAATTTATTCATTATTTCTAAATTCAGGTAATAATAGTGTAAGTTTTCATTATTTTTGTAAAAACTATTTATATTTTAATTTCATACTAAATTTTATAATAATTCATTTTTAGAATGGTAAAACTCCAAGCGGTATAACATCGCCAAGAGCAAGTTGTCAAGAAAGTCTCATTGGATCATTAATCAAAGAGTCAAATATCGATTTTAATAAAATTGGTTATTTTGAATGTCATGGTACAGGAACTGAAATGGGTGACTCTAATGAAATGTCTGCAATCGGTAATAGTATAGGTCTAAATAAAAGCTCACCATTAATAATTGGTTCGGTTAAATCGGGTATTGGCCATTTAGAGGGTGCATCTGGTATTTGCGGTATTATTAAAACAATTGCATGTATCAAAGAAAAGTTTTTACCACCTCAATGTAAATTTAGCGGGTATAACCCAAAGATTCCATTTGAACAGTTGAATTTAAAAGTTTTAACATCATGTCAAGAATGGAACGATATTGAAAGAATCGCTGGTGTTAATTCATTTGGTGTTGGTATGTATACAAAATCTCTAAATTCATTAAAATTTTTTTGATAGTAAATATTAATAAATTAATTTTTTAGGTGGCTCAAATGCAAATGTATTTTTATCTTCTTTCGAACCAAACAACTATATCGATAGTACAAGCTTTTCCCCATTATCAAATTCAACTACACCTTTATTTTCATCATCATCATCTCCTTTATTGTCATCAACTTCATCTACTCTTACAACATTTGAAAGTGAAAGCGATACAAGTTCAAATATTACACCCCGTCCAAATGAAAGTATAAATACATTTGATATTGTAACTTTGTCAGTAACTTCCCAAGATAAAAATGATTTAAAGGATAGAGTTAATGATGTATTAAATGAAATCACCAAATTAGAAGAGTCCAATTCTTCAAAAGATTTTTTTAAAAATATTTGTTATTCAACAACAAATAGAGTAAGCCACTTTTCAAATAGACTTGTGATTTTGGCCAGTGATTTAAATGACTTCAAAGTAAAAGCAAAATCATTTTTAAATGATCAAATTGACCCATCAAATAAAAGTACAATTTATCACTCTGAAAACTATCAAAAAATGGATAAAAAGAAACTAGGTTTTATATTCTCTGGCCAAGGTCAACAATGGAATTTAATGGGAAATGATTTATATTTAAATAATAAAACATTCAAGAGAGAAATGAACAAATTCAGTTCCCTTTTCCAAGCAGTTTCTGGTTGGTCTATAGTTGAAAAACTTTATGAAAAACCAGTTTCAGTCGATACAATTCATGAAACTTGGTTAGCACAACCTTCGATTGCAGCCGTTCAATATTCTTTATCTATTGTACTTAGAGAATTGGGTATTGAGCCATCATTAACCATCGGGCACTCATTGGGTGAAATGCCAGCTGCTTATTTTGCTGGAGTTATTTCGTTAGAAGATATGGTAAAACTCTTGTGGTTACGTAGTCATTTACAAAACAAGACCTCTGGCACTGGTAGAATGGAAGTAATAATTTCATCTAGAGAAGATGTAGAATCATTAATTTTTAAACATGGATTCTTTGGTAAAATATCAATATGTGGTAATAACTCTGCCAAAGGTTGTGCAGTTGCTGGTGACAACCATTCAATGGATGAATTCTCAACAGTTTTAACTAAAGAAAATTTGGTACACAGAGAAATTCGTACAAATGCTGCTTTCCACTCTTACCTAATGGACCCAATCAAAGAAGAGTTTTATAAATTATTCCCCAGTGATATTGAAACAAAAGAATCGTTGATCCCATTTTATTCAACTACATATGGAAGATTCTTTACATCAACCGAGTGTAAAGAAATTCTTTTATCACCAGACTATTGGTGGAAAAACATCCGTGAAGCAGTACTCTTTAAAGAATCAATGGACTCAATTTTAAAGAACAATGTTGTAAATGGTTTTGTTGAAATTTCTTCACATCCAATTGTTTCTTATTTTACAAATCAATTAATTAAATCTAATAACTCAAAAGTTCTTTTGTTTCAAACCCTTTCTAAAGACACCAACCCAATGGATTGTATTGTAACCCTACTTTCAAAACTTTATATATCTGGTATTGATATCAAATGGGAGACTCTCTATGAACCAAGACACTATTGCGCTATTAAACTACCACCAAGAAAATGGAGATTAGATTCATTCTGGATGGAAAATAATCAAAAAAAAATTGATAGAATTAACCCACCAAAATTTTCATCATTAGAAAAGAGACTATTCTCAGTTACCCCATCATTTGAAGTTAGATTAAATCAAGAACGTTTCAAATACCTCAATGACCATAAAATTCAAGGGATACCAATTGTACCATTTGCTTTCTTTGTTGAACTGGTTTATTCATCTATTGCAGATCTCCAAGTTAATCAATCATTTGAAATTAAGGATTTTGAAATTACCTCAGCAATAACAATCGATAGTAAAATGTCAAATATTATTGGTGTAAACTTCAATTCTGATGCTACAATGTTTGAAATTGGTAGTGTTCAATCAACTTTACCAACTCAAAAATGGAATATTCATGCTCGTGGTACAATTATTTATGGATCAGACTACTTAAAATCAAGTAAATTCAACTATTCAAAACTATCATCGATTCAAGGTGTAAAATCATTCAACAACTCTGATGAATTTTATAATGAAATACTAGAGTATCAATATGAATATGGACCATCTTTTAGATCACTTAAAAAGGCCACTTTAATAGATGAGAACACTCAGTACTCATACCTAGAACTTAATAAATGTAAAGAACTTTCAACACATCTTTCATGTGACTTTAGAGGTATTCATCCAAGTCTTTTTGATGCTATCCTCCAATCAGCCTTTATTCCAGCATGCAATAAAGAAAAAGGTCTTTGGTTACCAACCAAAATAGGTTCATATTCATTAAACCTACCTTCTTTAGAGAATCAATTTATTGATATCAATAGCCCACTTCATTGCTTATCAAAAGTTAACTCTTTCCCAACATTCAACTCTTTCTCAACAAGTGTTCAAATCTTTGATAGTAATGGTATAATTATTGCAGAAATAAAAGATTTACAAATGAAATTGGTTTCCAAAGTTAACCATACTAGTAACAAGACAACAACAATTGAAAAATCACACTCAAATTTAAAAAATGAAAATGAAAGTCAAGCAATATCTATTTTATCAGAATATCAATGGAACAAAGATGAAATTTCAATTTCTACACCAATAAAATATACAGACTCTTACCAAACTATTATATTTTGTTCAACAAACTTAAACAATAACCCATTATTAGACTCAACCATCAAAAGCTTAATAGATAATGGCCACGATGAAGATAAAATCTTCATAGTTTCACCTCCACCAAATGAAAATGATCAATATAACAATAGAATAATTATAAACTATACAGATAATGAATCTGATTATGACGGATTATTTGCTATTATTAATAACAAAGGTTTATCAATTACAAACTTCATTCTATTACCAAACTTCTATACATCCTCTTCAGAAACTCAATCAAAAGAATTTGACAACTATGATAATCAAAAAGATCCTGAAACTTTGTTATTGTTTAAAAGATCAAACATTTCAATTTTAAATTTAGAAAAATCAATTATTAAAAATAATTTAAAAGGTAGATTCTTTTTGATCACAGAAGGAGCCCAAAGTGTATTCCAAGAAACAAATAACGAAAAAATCAATTTGGATCAATATCAAACTATTGGTTTAGCTCGTGTATTCTCTAATGAATATCCATTAATGGAATGTTCAATGATTGATATTGAAAAAGATACAGATTGTAACCTAGTCACTCAACAAATCAACTCTACTCAACTATATAAATGGGAGGTAGCATACAGAAAGAATCAAGTTTATAGCTATAAACTAACCTCAATCCATGGTAATAAAAACCAATCAAAAAATACAATAGACCGTTCAAACAATTACTATAGGGTTGAACTATCTGATAAAGGTGTAATTTCAGATTTAGTTATTAAACAAGTCAAACAATTAACATGCAAACCAAATCAAGTCCAAGTTAGAGTTAAATATTGTTCATTAAACTTCAGAGATATTTTAAAATCACTGGGAAGAGATTATGATTCAATTCATTTATCAACAATGGGTGATGAATTCTCGGGCATTGTAACTGAAATTGGCAATGAAGTAACTCACTTAAAAGTAGGTCAAAGAGTGTTTGGTATTAATATGTCTAGATCAATGGGTTCTTTTGTAACATGCGATGCTGATCTCGTATTTCCAATCTCAAATTTAACTGAAGAAGGGGCCTGTACAATTCCAATTGTATTTTTAACCTCTTGGTATAGTTTAGTTGTTCAAGGTAGACTAAAAAAAAATGAAAAAGTACTTATTCATTCTGCATGTGGAGGTGTTGGTTTAGCATCCATTCAAATTGCTCAATATATTGGTGCAGAAATATTTGCAACTGTTGGTAGCAATGATAAAAAAGAATATTTGGTTAAGAATTTCGGTATTGATCCTTCTAAAATTTATTCATCAAGATCGCTTAATTTCTATAACGAAATTATGAATTCTACCAGTGGTGAGGGAGTGGATGTAGTTTTAAACTCACTATCTGGTGAATATTTAGAAAAAAGTATTCAAACATTATCAAATTACGGCAGATTTGTAGAAATTGGTAAAAAAGATATATATTCCAACTCAAAAATTGGTCTCCTACCTTTCAGAAATAACTTATCATTTTTAGCCGTTGATATTGCTCAAATGACAGAGAACAAGCGATCATTTTTAGCTGAAATGATGATAAATGATATTTTGCCATTATTCAAACAAGGTTTACTTAAAGCTTTAGATCAAACTATATTTGAAAACTACAATATAGTAAAAGCTATTAGATTTATGTCTGCAGGAAATCATATTGGTAAAATACTAATCAACTGGGATGATATGATTAACGAAAAATTAAAAACTATTGACTTTTCAAATCAAATGTTTAAAGCTAATGCTACCTATATTTTCACTGGAACAGGTGGGCTAACTCAAATTTTATTAAAAGATTTTGCTGTCAACTCTGAAATTAAAAATGTTGTATTGGTTTCAATTAATGGAATTTCAAACCACCCAAACAAAGTCAAATTGATTAATCAACTCGAAGAAAACAATGTTAATGTTATAGTAGAGAAATGTGATTTAGTTTCAAGTCATAATGTAGAAAAACTATTTAGCAAATTAATAAATGAATACCCTCAACTACCACCAATAAAAGGCATATTCCATTTCGCATCTTTAGTTAGTGATAGAAAGATTCCAAACCATACAAATGACTCATTTTTACCAATGTATAACAGTAAAGCTTTATCAGCTTGGAATTTACACAACCAATCATTAATCCATAATTTAGAGTTGGACCATTTTGTTACTGTAGGGTCACTTGTAACTGTTCTAGGAAATATTGGTCTTAGTAATTATTGTGCTGCCAATAAATTTGTTGAAGGTTTAACAAATTTACGTTATTCTATGGGTCTAAATGCAACATGTATACATTTAACATCAATTCCAGAAGTTGGTATGGCATCAAATGATCGTGTAATCAACCTTTTAAAATCTATAGGAGTTATGCCATATGAAAACCTATCAATTTTGGTTTCTGGTATCAATTATATTATGAAAACAAATACAAGATCAATTAAAATATTTGGAGAAGCCATTATGGATAGATTTATCAAATCTGTTAAAGTTTATAGAGGCAAAGAGTGTTTTGAAGAACTTAATATCGAAACTGCTAAAGATAACAAAGAAATTAGCTTTTCATCCTTTGACAATGACAATATGGGAGATTTACCAGAAGATGAAGATATCAATAATGAATCACAAGAAGAAATAGATGGAGATGAAGAATATATTATCTCAAAGCTTAGAAACATAGTATGCGATATTATAGAGATAAGACAAGAAGATTTAATTAATAATGTCTCATTTAATAACTATGGTATTGATTCTTTATTATCATCTGAATTATCAAACTCAATTCAAAAAATCTTCAATGTTCTAATTCCAAGTTTAACATTAGTTGATAACTCAAATATCCAAACTGCAGCTGGATTAATAAAATCAAAATTAGAGAGTAGTAATATAAGTTTAAATAAGAAAAAGAATAAAATGGAACCAAAAAAGAACAATAATCAAAGTAAAGATTCAATTAAAAAAGTTATTTCAAAAATTCAAGAAAAAGAATTCATAAACCAAAATTTAATTCCAAATAAATCCCCTTCAAGCAAAAATGATATAAAACCATTAATTTTGGATAGTATTCAGGATAAACTTAAATTAAGCTCTAAAGAACTAATGACATCACCACCACCAAGTGCCAAAAGAGAAAACAAAACCGAAACTTCAGTCCCATCACAATCTCATATTTTATCATTAAATAACCAACAACAACATGACTTTAGTGATCCAAACTCATTAGCTACTGTATTATATGAAATTTCACCTGTTGCTGCCCCTCATCATCGTTATCAAAAAGATGTTTTGAATGAAATTTTAGAATTAACAGAAGAAAAAGAATTTATTAGTAATATTTATGATAAATGCAAAATCAATTCAAGATACTGCTTTAATAATCAATTAACAATGGCAGAACTTAATGAAATAGATGCTGGTCAAAGAGTTAAAATATTTAAAGAAGCCACATACCAAACAGTTGTTAAGGCTGGTGAAAGTGTTATCAAGAAAGCTGGTATAGATCCTTTATTAATCAGTCATGTTGTTGGTGTCACAAGTACTGGTATTATGGCTCCATCCATTGACGTCATACTAATTGATCGTTTAGGTCTCAGTAAGAATACAAGTAGAACAATGATAAATTTTATGGGTTGTGGTGCATCAATCAACAGTATGAGAGCTGCAAGTGCTTATGCTAGATCTCGTCCAGGTACATTTGTTTTAGTTGTAGCCGTTGAAAGCTCATCAACATGTATGAAATTTGACTTTGGAAAACGTAGTGACTTAATTTCTCAATGTATTTTCACAGATGGGTGTGTTGGTACATTAATCACTTGCCAACCTAGATTAACCATGAAAAACAAAATGGAAATAATCGATGACATGTCATACCTCATGCCAGACTCAAGAGATGCTCTCACACTATTCATGTCATCAAGTGGACTCGATCTAGATCTCCGACCAGAGCTACCATTAGCAATTAATAGATACATCAAACAAGCTTTTGATGAATTTTTAGATAAAAACCAATTGGAACTTAAAGACTTGGAATTCTTTGCAACTCATCCTGGTGGGGTTAAAATTATCAGTGCAGTTCATGAAGGCTTAGGTTTGTCGCCAGAAGATTTATCAGATTCTTACGAAGTCATGAAAAGATATGGAAATATGGTTGGTGTTTCAACTTATTATGTATTGCGTAGGATTTTAGATAAAAACAATGCATTACTAGAAGAAGGATCAATTGGTTACAAGTATGGTATAGCTTTAGCTTTTTCCCCTGGTGCATCAATCGAAGCTGTTTTATTTAAATTGGTTGAATAGTGATAAAAAAATTAAAAAAAATAAAAAAATAAAAAATAAAAAAAAAAGTGGAAAAAAAAAAAATGGAAAAACAGTTTATCACTCAACCATATTTTTTAAAAAAATAAATAAAATTTTTTAAAAACAAAAGATTAATATCTTTATAAAAAACTTCTTTTTTTTTTTGGTATTTTCAAAAAACTTTTGAAAAAAGGGTGATTTATATGAAAATGGGTATCAAAAAATTTAAAAAAAAAAAAAAGAAGTAATTTGTTAAGTGGAAAAATAGACTCGCGTATCAAGAGAAGTCAAAAATAAATAATTTTTTTTACAAAAAAAAAAAAAAGAAATATTTTTTACCCATTATTTTTTCTTTTTATTATAATAAATAGTTTTAGATTTTATCTTTTATAATTTAAATTTTAAATATAAAAAACTTTATTTATCTTTTTTTAAATAATTTTTTTTTTTTGCTGATTTCCATTAAAAAACCCAAAAACCAAATGATAAATATTAAATGATATCAAAAAGATGGATAATTGATTATTGATTCATTTTTAAATAAAATTAAATTTTTTGGTGAAGAAATCTTAAAAAACTGAATTATATTGGAGGTATATATATTATATATATTTTTGGTTATACATATAATGAATTTTTATTTTTTTATTTTTTTTTTTTTGAAAGTTGATATTGATATATTGATTATTTACTGATGTTGCTATTGAAAATATTGATTTTTTTTTAATAACGAACTGAATTTTTTTTTTTTAAAAAAAAAAAAAGAAAAAAATTTTTTTTTAAAAAATAATAAAATAATTTATAAAGGTGATTAACTAATACTATTACTTTTAATAACTGAAACAAATATTATAAATTGAATAAATAAAAATAAATAAAATAATTAAAAACAAAAATTATTATACAATAATACGCAAAATACTATTACTATCACTGTTATTTCTACTATGACTATTATTTCTATAAATATATAAACCTGATACAGTAGTTGTTGATGTTGGAGGGAAAAAATATGAATCCTGTGTGACAATAAAATTAATGGCCAAAGTCTCTCTCATTAACTGTACTCCTTGAGGGTTAATATTATTATGGTTTAACTGGATATATGTTAAACTTGAGTTATAAAAAATACTTTCACTTAATGCTTTAGCACCTTCATTGGTAATACCGTTACCTGATAAGTTGAGCTCTGTAACGCTATTATTTTGTTTGAATGCCTCACTTATAGCTTTACAACCCTCATCACCAATTTCATTACCACGTAGTTGGAGATCTGTTATGGATGAATTATAACGAAGAGCATCGCCTAAAAACTTGGCACCTTGCGGACCTAACCCAGTTGTTCCCATTGATAATTTTTTTATTTTCTTATTGTAACAAAGCCCTTCAGCAATTGATGAAAAACCTTGGCCAATCTCTGCGTTAAGGGATAGATCTAAAATTTCGAGTGATTGATTAACTTTTAAGGCGGAACCTATGGAAATAGCACCAGTCATACCAATATTATTAAATGCTAATGACAAGTCCCTAATTGAATTATTTTGTTGAAGAGCATCCGCCAAAAGAATTGCACCTTTATCGCCTATTGAATTTCCGGTTAAGTCTAAATAGGTTATCGAATGAGAAGAAGCTAAGGCAGAAGCCAAAGGCTTTAAACCTTTATAACCAAATTCGTTTCTAGATAAATCGAGATAAGACATAGTTTGGCTGGAACTAATACCTTCAGAAAGTATTTTCATTGAGTCTGATGACAATTTGGTATCGCAGAGGTTGAGTGACGAAAGACATGGGTGCTTTTTAATTGAGGATGAAAGATGTTGCGAACTCTTTTCATTAAGGTCATTCTTTGAAAAATCAATACTTGTTATTGATGTATTTTTACCAATGGATTCGATAATAAAATCAATACCTTTTGCACCAAATCTATTCTTTGAAAGATTAATTGTAGTTAAAAATTGAGTATTTTGGAGAGCAGTTCCTAATGCTTTTGAACCTTTAAGGCCGATACAATTTTGTGAAAGATCCAGATTGACCAATTTTTGATTGGCTTGTAATGCTTTAGAGATTTCTTCTGCACCCTCATTACCGATTGAATTAAAACTAAGGTTCAAGTGAGTGATAGTTGAATTTATATTTAAACATTCACCTATACAATGGGCAGCTTTATTACCAATACCATTTTGTGATAGTTCTAAGGTTGTAATTGTAGTGTTTTTTGTCATTAAAAGTCTAACAAAACTAGAGACATCAAATAATGTTGGTGTACTAACTTTTAATTGTAATGAATTGAGGTTTGGATAAATATTGTTCGCAAAATTACTGAATAAATTGGTAATAACTTTATCGGCCGGTAATTGGTACACATACGAGGTTAATCTTTCTAGTGATATTCTTCTCCATTGGCGGCAAACACAACAAATATTTGTATAAATAACTGAAGTTGGGTCATCTTTATGTGCTTTACCCAAAATAATTGAAAGTATATTGTCTGCCAATGATGTTATAAATGGTGGTCTATCTCCTGGTACTAATAATATCTCAGGGATTTCGTATGGTTGGTTGATTGTGGAGGTAGTTGGGACTGTTTGAATATTATTATTGTTGTTGTTATTATTATTACTTGGTGAGGTTATTCTTGGTGATTGGTTTGATGAACTACTATTTCCAGCCATCAAATTACTTGATGAAGATGATGTAGACTCCTCTATTGAATCAGAATTTGCTAAATGTGAAACAGAGTTATCATGATGATGATGGTGGTGTGTTTGTTGATGATGCATTTGTTGATGGTGCTGATTTTGATGTTGGTGTCCATGTCCATGTTGATGTGGATGTTGATGTGGGTGTTGGTGTTGGTGTTGGTGTTGGTGTTGATGTTGTTGGTGGTGACCATTGTGTGGTTGATGCTGATAATGATGATTTCCTTGTAAATGTTTATCAATTTGATCAATTCCTGGATAATTATCTATAATTTCTTTTTTAATATCTAAATTTGATCCATTTTCTTGATTCATGTAATAATACGGTTGAGGCTGTGGTTGCTGATGATGTTGTTGCTGTTGTTGTTGGTCAACATTCATTTGATTCTTAATTATTTGGGTTGGGGTTTTGAAATAAATTAAAAAAAAAAATAATAAAAAAAAAATTAATTTGTTTTAAAAAAAAAAAAAAAAATTATAAAAATAAAAGCAAATTTAATTAAAAGAATTAAAAACGAATATATTGAAATTTGTAATAAAAATAATTTTTAAATAAAAAATAAAAATAAAAATAAAAATAAAAATAAAAATAAAAATAAAAATAAAAATAAAAATAAAAATAAAAATAAAAATAAAAAATAAAAAATAAAAAATAAAGAAAAACAATTTGTATTAGTAAATTACTTTTTGATTAATTAAAATTTTGTTTAGTTACTATATCTTTAAATATTTTCTTTAAAAAAATAAAAAATATGAAAAAATAATAGTAACTCTATTAACAAAATAAAGATACATACTTGGTGGTGATAGTTTTGCATGGGATATAATGTTTGCTAAAGTAACCAAACTTGCTTGAATAGAAATGTGATTTCAACAACAAAAAAAAAAGAAATTTTTTTTTAATAAATAATTTGAATTATTTTTTTTTTTTTATGAAAGTGTTGTTCACAACTTTTTTTTAAAAAAAAAAAATCTGTTATGTGATTGTATTGTTTTTGTTTAAAAAAAAAAAAATTGATGTTAGAAGCTATGGTTTATAGAATAAGTTTTCGAGATATTTACAACAAGATGGTTCCCATAAAAAAAAAAAAAAAAAAAAAAAAAAAAAAAAAAAAAAAAAAAAAAAAAAAAAAAGCCTAATTTGCCAAACCACCAAACTGTTGAAATGATTAAACTGATTGAAATGAATTGAGTGAAATGATAAATGAGTGAATGATAAAATGATAAATAATTGTAATGATTGAATAAATAAAAATGAGATAAAAAAAAATTATTATTGTTTTTTGTTGTATATTTTATTTGAATGTGGTGTTTTTTTTTTTTAAAAAATATTTTAGCGCTTTTTATGTGGTTGATCAAATCATAAATATTTAATTAATAATATAATTATTTTCTTTTAAAAAAAAATTTTATAAATTTAAAATTTATATGTTTTGTTTAAATTAAATGAAAATTTACTTTTTTTTAATAAAAAAGTGTTTGTGATGTTATTTAATATAAAAAGGGTAAGGTTTCTCAAAAATTGAAAAACCTATAACAAAGTTCTTATAAAGATGTGATACAATAATTGATAATTTTTTTTTTTTTTTTATTTTTTTTTTTTTTATTTTATTTTTTTTTTTTGAGGTTATATGTGGTTTTTGGGTATTTTATTATCTTAAAAAAAAAAAATTATTGAAATAAAAAATGGAATGAATTTTGTAAATGGGCAAAAAAAATAATGACAACGGATGGTTGATTGAAAAATAAATTAATTGAAATGTGTTTCTTGTGTAATTTATAAAAAAAAAAAGATAAATAATTAATCAGCTGTCTCTTTTTTTTTGGGGGGTTATATTCAGCCGATTGAAATTTTTATTTTTTATTTTTTTATTTTTTTATTTTTTTTTTTTTTTACGCAATGAAATATTGATTTATAAGATATAATACTGGATACAAGTAATTACAAAAACAAAAAAAAAAAAAAAAATAATAATATTTACATAAAATAATTTTTTACAATAAATTAAGATTAAAATAAATATAGATTATTATTTCGATTCTATATTTTTATTTTGAAAATTGTGTGGTTTTTGAAAGAAAATTTAAAAAAAAGAAAAAAATGTTTGGAAAAAAAAATTTTTTTAAATAAAAAAAAATTTTAAAAAAAAAAAAAAAAAAAAAAAAAAAAAAAAAAAAAAAAAAAAAAAAAAAAAAAAAAAAAAAGAAATATCTGTATTTTTTAAAAAATATAATAATTTTAAACAATTATTATTTTTTTTTTAATAAAAAAACTATGACCAAACCTCTTTAATTGGGGAGAAAAATATAAAATAATGAAAAGACCTACCTTTTTGAAAAAAAAAAAATGATTTTCCAAAATTCAGCGTGATGAATTAATTATTAATTTGAATTAATAATTTTTTTTTGTATGAAAAAATATTATTTGAAAAACAAAAAAATTAAAAGGGGTATTGTGTAATATGTTATTATATTGAGAGATTATTAAATTGTGGGTTGAGAAAAGAAAAAAAAAAAAATAGTACAGCTATAGTATTTTTTTTTAAAAAACCTACCAATAAATAAATAAATAAATAAATAAATAAATAAATAAATAAATAAAT